TCTAGGCTAAAGTAAGCCTAGGCAACCGTATCCGGGCCCTAAGCCCTCTATTGATAATCCTGACACAGCTGAGACATCGTCAACTCGCTGGACGACGATGTGAGCCCCTTCGGGCAGATCGAACCTTTCCTGCAGGGCGTGCAGGAGAGGTCGGGCTACGGCTACTTCATCGTTCGCTGCAGGAACCTTGGGGGCACTTAGAAATATTTTTTTGTTATTATAGTCCCTACGTAACAGCTTAAAATTATAATTGTTGCTAGGGTTCTAAGTTCAATTTAGGAACATGGCTCACGCAGACCTGCACGAGCTCATGTTCTGCGGCGACTACGTGGAGACGCAGAAGTTTCGCAAAGCCTGCAAGATCTGGCGAAACTTCCTGCACATCTGATGCCTGTAACAGGTTTTCCTTATGCCTGCAACAGGCAAGGATACAGATGTGCATGCGTCTTCACGGTGCCTGAAACAGGCAGATGAAGTAGCCGTAGCCCAGTGCCTGTAACAGGCAGGATCTGCCCGGCCCCTTTTTTGTGCCTGTAACAGGCTTTGTGCTTGGCCCCTTGGCGTGCTTCTGGAGCTTTTGGGGCTTGTATAAGGACTATAACAAGGAGGCTAAAGGTACCTTCTTGGAGGGCTTCAGAAGCCAGCCAAGTGTACACTACGGTACACTGAGCCGTTGCAGTGCACACTACGCCGTAGGTGCGTAGCCTGTAACAGGCAGGCTCCATTCTGTCGCAGGTGGCAAGCCGGCACAGGCCAATCAACAATGCCAGAAGAAGACTTAGCACAGGAGTGCAGCAGTCGCAGTACTAGGTAGTAGTACAGTAGTACAAGAAGAATAAATAGTAGTAGTAGTAGCAGTAGTAGTAGTAGTAGCAGCAGTAGTAGTAGTAGCAGCAGCAGCAATAGTACCAGTACGAGCACTACTGCAAACCAGAAGTTGCTATAACATTACAACTACAGGGACAGTAGCACTAGTAGGACTACTGTTACTACGTACAGGTGCTAGTCCTAGGACTGCTATAGTAGTAGTATAGTAGTAGTAGTAGTAGTAGTAGCAGTAGCAGTAGCAGTAGCAGTAGCACTAGCAGTAGTCAGTAGTATTCCGGCTTCCGAAAGCCCCGCAGTCTGTGCTGGCCGGCTCTGTGACCGCCGAGCCCTGGAGTTCCGATCGCTTGCCGGTGCCAAAAAGGCGTATTTCTTTTAAGAAACGTCGTTTTATAGTGCATGCTGCAGGACCCATCAATTAGTCGTCTTCAACAGTTGCGTACATGTCGTTGTTGCGGACTCTAGTGGTCTGGGGTCTAGCACGTACGTGTTCTAGGCCACAAACAAGATAAACAAAGCACATGAATGACTCTTACAACCTAACGGACGCATCCTAGAAAGCCCACAAAGCTTCAAGCAACCCCAACGTAAGCTAAGCCCAACTCCAAGGTAAGCGGCACTACACTCGACCTCTGACCAGTGTACTTTCATGAACCCAAGATGAGCTCCGAATAACATCGTAGCTCGGATCCTGAAGCTGCTGCCTGCGTGTCCATGCAGACCCTGTTCCCAAAAAGCCCCGAATCTGAAGCTGCTGGCTGTGAGGATCTACTCGCGGCCGCTGAAGGCCGACAAGTTCCTGGACGACACAATGGAGAAGCTGGTCATGGGCAAAACTGCTGTGGTCAAAGCGGCTGCCTACAGCCTTCCCTTCAAGAACCTGCTGGAGGGCTTCATCAAGACCATGGAGGTAGTCGGCCCGTGTTTCATACATGATAGTTTGAAGCTTTCCTGCAACGCACCATGCAAAGTATACATGCTAAATGACACTGACATGTGCAGGACCGTTCCACAAACGCTGTGCGGAATTTCAGCCTGGCGAAGCAACGATTCGAATCCTCCTACGAGCCCATGCTTCGTCTGACGCTGTTCCTGGAAGCCTTCATCATGGCGGCGCAGCAGATCATCAGGAACAACAGCTCCGAGGAGACCGCTGTGTGCAACAGCTTCCTGCAGCTGCTGACCGAGGAGAGGCTCCTCACCCTTGCGATGCTCGGAGATGCCTCGGCATGCATTCTCAGACTGACCCGCTTCTTGGATAGTGAAGAGCACGACATCAGCGGCGTCGCCGACCAGTGCCTCGAATGTGCCAACTCGTTGCACCATTTGTTTGCTGATCAGGCGTGTGATGACAACGGACTGACTCGACACATGCTGGCCCGTCTCGAGCGGCCTCTTGTCTGGCTTTTCAAGGACGGCACGGCAGGTAGTGTGGGTGGCAATCCGGCAAAAACCAGAGATGCACTCGCAAAATGCCGTCCAAGATTTCTTGCATACACAAAGTTGGCATTGCAAACTCTCATGGCAGAGTTTCCTTCTTTCGGCTGCCTCATGGCTTTTCGAGCCTTCCAGCTTGGTGTTGGTGGCTGCAACAGCCGCAAGCGCAAGAATCCAACGGGTCCCGGAGCCCAGACACGTCAGGAGTGTGTGGAGAGGCTTGCTTTACTATGCGACTTGCCCAAGGACACATTGCTGGAACAGCTCGAGGCCCGAAGCAAATCGGTAGAGTCTAGAGTCGTTGTTTAGAGCCCCGTTCTAGCCGGACCCGCCGGGCCTTCTTCAGTGTAACAGCTTTGTCAGGACCATCGACCAGCTGCCCAGGCAGTCTACAACTCGACTGACGTCGACACCTTTGATGCCTGGAAGCGGGCATGGTTGTCATATGAGAATGCGAGTGGTGGCCGCAAGAGACACCCAGGAGATGTACTGGGCGAAGCACTGCAGAGGTTTGGTGCCTATAACGGATGCACTTCATCTGGCGTCGAACAGTCGTTTGGCAAGCAGACGCAGCTTTTTGGAAAGCAGCGACTGCGAATGCTCGAATCCACCGCCAATGATGAGAACGCCCTTTGCTTGGATGCATTGGTGGATGATGCGAAGCTGTGCCATCGTGCCCGTGTGACTCGAATGAAAGACCTTAGTGGGGCCGTAGCTGTTGCAGGTTTGCATAAAAAACCATCGAGTCTGAGGTGATTTGGACTCACTTGCAGTATGGCAAACCGCGCAAAATGAAGTCGGACTCGCGGATCACCAAGGGCATGACTCGGAAGAAGACCAAGAAAGACTTGTCCATCAAGGCATGGCGCGATGCCTCCCAGAAAAAAGTTCTGAAGGAAGTGCGCAGCAAGGGGCCGTTGAAGAGCGTGAAGCAGCTTCATGGAAAGATTCGATTTGCCAGAGGCAGTTCGGCCTGGACGAGTGGTCATGAAACCGAAGCCGCATTCCAAGAGCGCAAACTGGACAAGAAGTTTCTAGATGCCGCATTGGACAAGAAGCTCCTGCAGGACGAGCAGACCAAAGTGGCTGGAGCAGCCTTGCAGGTACATGCCAAAGCACGCGAGGCCAAGCGGCGCGAGCAGGAAAAAGAGGCCCGCAAGAGGCAGGACTTGGATATGCGCAGACCACGGATCCTGAGTCTTGGAGCCGCTGTCCGGGGCAAGGCCTGATTGTTGCAGTGCTGTTTCAATCTATTTACACCATTTGGGAGCTAGTTTTAGTACTTCCCGTGGACAGGTCGTTGCGGTGGAGAAAGAGCTGTCGCTGCCTGCAAATGCGCTGGTTGGCTGCCAGGAGGTGGAACAGCAGTGCAAGCAAGCCCAGGTGTGCATTGTGGAGAATGTGGCAAGCCCGTCCTCTCGTATGCGATGGGTGCTTGCTCTGTTCGGGGGGTTGTGTCTCTCCAAGAAGTTTGCGGCGTCGGCTGGCAAGCATGGGCCTTTCTTGAAGTACGAGGCAGCCAGCGCGAAGAAGCGGGCGATTTGGATCAGTGAGTCCTTCCAGGCAAGCATCCCTGGCATCACCGATCTTATCACTGCTGCATGCCGCAAGCCCGGAAGCCAATGGACGCTGTTGCAAAGGGAATCTGAAGTGACCACCACGCGTGGCAGCGTGATTGTGCTCATTGAGGCAGCTGACACAGCCAGAAAGCGCTTGTACAGAGGGCAGAAGAAAGCCGTGACAGCCAAAGAGTTTCTGAAAATGATTTCCGTGGTCGACAAAGTTGCCAGCCGCCTTTGCTGAGAAAGTGTTTCTGGCCGAGGCTTCCATGTACAGCTTTGCTTCAAGCAAACGTCGCAGGGGGAATGCGACAGGCAACAGAGCTCAGGACCAAAAGTCGGGTAAGAGACTTTGCAGATTCATTGGTGTGCAGCCGTTCTCTGAATGTTGGTTCCACTGTGATTTCAATAGGAAGAGATTCTTGGAAGTTGTAACAGGTTGCAGCTCATTCGTAATCTAAGTACGAAAAAAAGATGCCCTTATAGCGATGGGGTGACTGTTTAAACGCGACCCGCACGGCGCAGGTAGAGAATAAACAGTCAGGGGCGCCCCCGACTGTTTATTCTGACCCGCTGGGTCCATCAGGTCCAACACCCAGGGGCGCCCCCGACTGTTTATTCTGGCCCGCACGGCCTTGTATCCATTGTCTCCTGGGGTCCGGCTGTTCCCTGGATACTGCGTAGCCACGAACAGGAGGAGTCAGTCTGGTTTGCGCAGTCCAGAATAAACAGTCGGGGGCGCCCCCGACTGTTTAAACGCGACCCGCACCGCGCAGGTAGCAAATAAACAGTCGGCCGATCACCATAGCGCGTCTTTTTTTGTCTTGCGGTAAAGCCCGGTTATCCTGCATTTCTGTGCAAGAAAGTGTCATGTGTGTTCCGAGTCCCCTCGTCTGCAGTCATTCACTCATCCTGGCTTCGGAAGACATTGACTCTGCAGTCCTCAGTGCACAGACCATTTGTTGAGCTCAGTGACCAGTATGCCGCAGCCTCTTCAGTCCAGACCGATTCCAGACTGAGAACTACTCGGCAAGTGTTGCTTCAGTCGCAAGCGGATTCCAGAATGAGAACTTACCGGCAAGTGTTAGAGAGTCCTTGATGCATAGTGCCTTTCACTTGGCACCCGTTTAGAAGCAGGATCTAGCGAGAAGTGGCAGGTCGCGCTGACCTTGCAAAATCATGGCACCCAAGGGCCACTTGGAAGAGCAGGATAGCAAATCGCATTAGGAAAGAAGCTCGTGGAATTAGTTTGCCAGACTCAGGCGATCCGAAGAAGAAGGCCGCGGCCAAGGCCGCCAAGGCGGCCGCCAAAGGAAAGGCGAAAGTCGCACCTGCCCCAGCCGCCGGCCCAGTGGCTGGAGCAGCCCAGCCACGGGAAGCGGCGGAAATCCCGCCGGGATGTGAAGAACACCGCTACTGGGATGGAGGTGTGAACCAGAGCCTCATCTGCAAGGTGAATGATGCCGTCGCCACGATCCTGGACAAGTTCCCCGGCCACTCGGCAGAGAAGCTTAAACGCTATAAAGCCCAAACGACCTGCCGCCAGGCATATTTAACCCTAAACCCTGGACGATCTGCTGCGAGGCATCCAGAATGAAAAGCCGCTGGACATCTCCGACGGCGGTTCCGAGAAGGCGTTCGACGCAGGCGACTACCACCGGGCGATGACTGGTGCTGGAACTTACCGCTGTGTTGGCAACCTCTTCCTGATAAATTTCGCCTACAGCCCCAGTCGGACTGCTTCATGTCTGTTTCGTGTGGCACATGGCTAGCTTTGCAAACACTTGTAGGCACCGATGTATTTCCTGTGTGTGTTGCAGGAACGTACCGGTGGCTGAAACAGCACTGATGGAGTGCAAGGACAAGATCTTCAACTTCCGTTGGGAGAAGGGAACCCTCAAGAACTATCCCTTTGAGATATCCATCGCAGTGATGGACACCTCGCCCTTGGATCACCCCGCGGGCTTGCTCCGCGTCAGTGCGGCCCCCAAGCCTGTGAAGAATCTTTGATGTCCAGGTGCTGCGTGCGAGCTGCGTGCGCATTTCGTGCCTCTGAGGCCCGGAAGAGTACGAGCAGGCGTTCTTGTTGTGGATGGCCGAGAAGTTGGACAGTGGCGCAGATGACACGGACAAGGAAGCAATGAAGCGAACCTTGTCTCCAGGGTTCAGAAGTGTAGACTTATACGCCATGTTCCCCTGGCATGCGTTCTTTGAGCCAAGGATTATTGACCTCGATCCCCTTCCGATTCCATGTTTTAGCCAGCGAAGACGCAAGGTTTTTCCACATGGCCAATCTTCGAGAGGATGCAACAGAACTGAATAGTTTTTGAAATGCATCGGTTTGACAGTTTGCGTTTTAAGGCAAGCTCCTTTCCGAAGTTATCCAGCAAAGGTAGTGAAGTCGTTCAAGCTCGTGGGCAGATCGGCGATCCAACGGATCTTCGAGCTCGAAGGCTTCAGGTTGCGCAAGCTGAAAAGCCACGGACCGGGTGGATGCGACCCAGCGCAGCTGGCACAGCAGTTCATGAAGGAGCTGCCAACGACATCCGGCGAAGAAGATGTGACGTCCGAGACTTATGTCCCTTTGGTTTGATTGGCAAGACTCTAAATAGCCAGTGGGCTGGAGAAAAGCAAAACATAGCAGGAAGACTACACGATCCCCACGAAGCCTCGCCCGTAATTCCAAAGCTGTTCGTCTGAATGCATTCAACGGTGTGCGTCTGAGATCAAAAACGCCTTCAAAGTCTTGGAGAATGTCTTGGCCGTGGATGAGGTGAAGCAGATCATTCTGGCCTGCGAGCGCGAGTACGGGAAGCTCAGCCCGTTTTACAGCATGTCAGCATGTCCCAGCTCGAGGCACTCATGGCGAAGACCAAAGATGCCGGCCAACTGGCCTGGGCGGTGGATGCCATCAAGTTCTATGTTGACCGGAAATTCGCCACCTCCGGCGAAATGTCCGCGAGGAACTTGACTGGCAAGACCACCAACAACAGAGGGCTGCTGGACGTCATGCTGGAGAAGCAGAAGATGCTTGAGCACCTCTTGCATCAGTGGCTGGAACAGCAAGCCTTGGACGCGGAGTCCAAGGTCGGGCGAGGGCATAGACACTCTGGGGCGGATGTAGTGTTCAGAGCGTTCCATCCTTTTCAAACTTTGGATGCAGATTCAGGGCTTAGGCAAGTGTTTCTGCAGCACTCGCGACTTGACCAAAACGGGTTCTTTCTTTCGGGGAATCGAAGCCTGAACTGGATGGGGCAGAGGTTCATTGCATAATATGACAGAATGACAGGCGGTGATCCGTTCGGTGAGCTCGCCCGGCAGAGCTGCGAAGTTTTTCGACAAGAACTCCGCGTGGAAGGGCAGCGTCCAGCCAGGCTCGCAGGAGATCCTTGACTTCATGCGCGGAGTCATCTTTGGCCCGCGCTTCGACGGGCAGCTGAGGCATCTCATGAAGAGTGGGAAGACTGCTGCCGAGCTCTTCGCGACGGAGCCCTTCCAGTCGGAGATACTCCGTATCGAGGAGGACGTGCAGCAGCATGCCCCAGAGGCACGGGCTTTGCATGTTTGCAGGTCGTAGTGTAGTAAGACAGTTTAAGAGCACCAGTGGATATCAACAGAGGCGTGAGTGCAGCTGACATGTTGCAAGTGATGCACAGTCATTCAGTCATGGCCATCTGAGCACAGGCTGTTGCTGCGGCCGCTGGAACAGCGCGTGCGCCAGCTGCTGGAACAGCAGAGGAGGAGGCGGGCTTCGCGGACATGCTCACCTCCGTCTTGACGGCGGAGGAGCTGGAGAAAGACACCGACAGCGCTGTCGAAGGCTTCCTAGAGAAGGCAGACTCACTCGTCCGGCGCTACATCACAACGGTCACTGAGGTGGAGTCCGGCTCGGAGTTCGTGGACATGCTGAAGGAGAAGTCCGTGTGGAAGATGAGCAGAGTGGGCGTGATGTATGCCGTGCAGCACGCAGGCGAGAGCGATTCGCTTCCCCACTGTCGTACCCCGAGATTTCGGTACGAGCACATGCGGAAGTACTTCAACGGCATCTTGGGTCGGAACGGCGAGGGAGATGAGAGCTTTCCTTCCAACATGCTCTTTTTTTGCTTTAATGCTGGGCATTTCGGGCACAATGAAACGTTTCTCAAGTGCATGACGGATGGGAATGGAAAAGCACTTCCGAAGCGGCGCGAGACGTTGTTTCTGCAGTTCGATGAAGAGTCGCTGCAACAGCGCCGAGGCAAGAAGCAGGGAGTGCTTGCTTTGGTTCAGGGTGCTGTGGTGTGCGCTTCTCCGGACATCACCATGGTGCCCCCGGACCTGCAGGAGCGGATGCACTTTACCAGCACAAGTCCTGCCACGAATGTGATTCAGGGAATCGGCGTGCCTCCGTACGACCAGCTTTGGCTTGTCAACAAGAAAGAGAAGTCGAACATCATCGCAGGAGGCGGCGTTGTCCGCGCAGGTGGCACGATCCCAGATGAGGAGAAGACGGAGCGACCGGACTTGTCGCAAGATCGTGTACCGGTCTGTTGGCACACTTTGCCAGTCGAACTCTGGGAATCTCGGCCTCACACATAGCTACTTGACGGTCCGAGTTCTGAGGTCACAGCCCCAGAGCCTTTAAACTATTGTTGCTTGGGGTCTTGTCGGGTTTGGGAGGCGTTGGAGTTGACTATTATCAGGAAAATGAATCCATTGCAGCACGAGGCCTTTGCTTCCGCAAGACCCACCTGTAGAAGAATCCTGTCCTGGCACATCAGCAAGGAAAAAAGGAAAAACACAGCATGCCCGGAGTTCACCGCTGGTCCAGGGTCCTGGGTCGAAGCACCCTCTCTCTTCAGGAGAGGGGATTTGCTTGTTGCTAGTTTTGAGCCAGCCGCAGGCTTTGTTGGAGCACTCGGTTTGTAGCCCGAGCCCTTGTCTGGTGACTCGGCAAGGCAACCCTAATCCCAACTTGGGCTTGTCGTGGTGGGCGCACGGTTCAACTCCACCGCATGCTCCACATCCCAGACTCGAAGATCTAAGCGAGGAGAGTACAACATGACAGGTCACACCCCGAGCATCCTCATGTCGGTATCGGGAAGCAAAACCTGGTCCGTTCTAGACCCAAGACTGGCCATTGAGTCGTGCAGCACAATGGTAAGTGCCGTCTTCATATCCTGTGCTGGGGGCTTTTTCCATGAGCGATTCAGAAAGCAGTCTAAATTTCAAGCAGCGTTGTGCGAGAAAACCAGGAAGAGTTGGTGCACTCGTACAGCCTCAACGGCCTGATCTGCCTGACCACTCTCGACGAGACGTGTTGCATGGCAGCGGTAAGGTCGCAGATCCCCTGCTTGGCCGTCGTCTTCAACGAGAAGCATGGGAAGGCGTTGCACGAGCGGCTGCTACAGTGTGTGTTCTCGGCAATGAGGGATCCGCAGGATGCCTTGTACGAGGCAGCACTGGCCAAGATCATCGGCAGCAGCCGCAAGAATGTGAAGAAGAAGAAGGTGACGAGGCCCGTCGCGAAGTCGACCGGCAAGGGCAGGAAGAGAAAGTCCAAGGGTGGCAAGGATCCCAAGGAGACAAAGACTAAGAAGAAGAAGACCAAGAAGGTCGTCGAGGAGGAGCCCGAGGAAGAGGATGACGAGAACGATGACGCCGAAGAGGACAACGACGAGGAGGATGAGGACGAGGACGAGGATGTCAGCGACGAGTGAGATTCGATTTGCCATCGCTGTCACAGCGGATTCGGGCAGGGCTTGGCTGATACAGCTCATTTGTGAGCTTGCGGTTGCGTGTCTGTAGGTGCACAGAATGCTACATACAAAGGCAAGTGCATTCAGGGTCGTGCTTGTAAATTATCAGCTACTTGAAGCAAGTTGGCCAGCCCATCCCATTTTGAGAGTCCGCCAAATTCCCACCACGATTTCTGAAGTCTTCGCAGGCTCAGAGCATGCTGCTGGCCGGTCACTGGATAAGTCTGGAACCAAAAATCCCACAGCGGCCTAGATCCTGCCGTCTGAGTACATTGAACCGGCCACTGCACGTTGCCTGCTAGAGGGGTGAAGTTCAGATCCCTTGCCGCCTGCGCACGCACTGCAAGCAAAAAATGAGCCTGAACGAATTGCTGGGAAGACACGCTCATGTTCTCAGAGTTGCAAGACTGGCGAGTGCCGAGTGCCATGCCTAGCGAGAAGATTTGCTTCGTCGGAGTTGAGATGCCTTGTAGTCGGTCGCCTGTCCATATTCCTCCGCAATGTTACCTGTTACGTACGGAATCGTTTCCAGGCTGTCAGACCATGGATTCCGCATAGACTTGAGTCTGGCCTGCTTACCTTCACACAATCTTGCCCGGACTCGTACTGCATGAGCCTACTGTCTGCGTCAGCAAGTGCTTCAGGAATAGACACCATCCGCTGTCCTTGCCGCGTCCCATCGCTTGGTATCTCGTGATTTCATGTGGCCAGTGGCCTGTCTAAGCTCATATGGAACAAGAATACCTGCGTTGAAGCACTATGACATGACGTGACGTCCGATGTTTTGAAAAGGCTGTACAGCAAGATGCTTGACACGTGCTGTACTGCACTCAGGCTCCAGGACGGGGGCTCGTGGGGCCACTCCTCAAAGCTACGTATTTCTTGCGATTGCATCTGGCACAAACTTTACAAACTTTGGAAGCAACCCGCTATTTTCCAGATGTTCCAGTGTGCATGGATCCAACACAGAACTGCGTCATCGTGTGGCTTGACCCATCGTGCTAGTGACACCGCAAGATGTTTCAGTTTGCTACTAGGACGTGCTGAAGCTACCGTGCAAACTGAGCCAACTTAGTAGCTGAGTGGATACATACACTTTACACTTTTTGGGATAATATTACCCACTCTAAAACTGAAAGCATACACTTTTTGGGGGCGTGCTGCTGCAGTGCTTCTCCTGCCATGCCTTGGAAGTGTGTTCGCTGCCGGATCAACTACACGCACCGCCGTCATGACAAGGTGTGCTGGAAGTGCCGACCCAGCCAGCGAGGGTCGACGAACAGGCTGGTCGCTGTTCGAAGGCTCCCGATGAAGACCAGGCCCAGCAGCAGGAGCAAGAGTTTCATCTGGGAGCACGAGGCGAAGCAGAGAAAGCAGTCGGCCAGTGATCCGCAGCGGCTGGAGCAGTCACCATACAACTTCAAGCAGTTGCTGGAGCAGCAGAAAGTCCATTTGCAGACATTGTTTCGCAACGACATGTCAAAGGTCCACGATGTCTTGGGGGTCGGCCATGCTTTCTTCGACAAGATCCAACGACGTAGCCGGACAATGCTGCCGGCCAGGACTGCAATCAATGTCGCGGGTTTGGTCTCTTTTGCTATGGCCAACAGCGGTTCCCTGAATGACGACGATTGTTATCGCTTGAAGTACAGGCAACTGTTGCAGCTCCGGGCCAAGGACCTTTCGGAGGCAGAATGCCGCTGGTTGAACATAGTTGGCAACATGGACTAGGTGCTTTTCGGCGCAATTGGGCACTGGCAATATCTGTTCTTCAAACGTGAAAGTCGAGAGACTGGTTTACCCAGACTAAAGATAGAGAGAGAGAGAGAGAGAGAGACTGGTTTACCCAGACTAAAGATAGAGAGAGAGAGAGAGAGAGAGGGAGAGACAGGAAGAGGGCATCGCTCCTGGTCAGGGACAGAAGAAAAGGCAGGTCAGAGCCCAATTGGCCGGTAGGCGCAGTATGCGAACTGCGTCTTGGGATGGCAGCTGTGAGCGGGGAAGCAGCAGATGGAAACAGCAGCGACTTTTCTGGGTTTCGCATAGACACTGTGGCGCATGTAGGATGTCTGATTGTGTTGCACATGGAGAAGGCTGTGCAAGGTATTACAAACGGCAGACTATTTAGCAGCATGCTTGTGCCTTGCGAGGTGGCAGAGGTTGTTGATGTGTCGGGCTTGCGCAATGGAATGAGATTCACGGTATCGTCCTCACTTAGTCACATAGCTGCAACACAAAGTCACAGTATTCACCACCTTGACAAAGCATTCTGATTCTTGCAATGTTGCAGCTTTGCTCAAGTGGTCGTACCCGGCCGGTCTCCAAGGTTTGCGGCCTCTGGTCGACGGAGCAGACTAGGTGAGGGACGTCGGCCAAAGTAGATCCGTAACTTCGGCCTCTGGTCGATAGAGCAAACTAGGTAAGGGAAGTCAGCAAAAGTAGATCCGCAACTTCGGCCTCTGGTCGATAGAGCAAACTAGGTAAGGGAAGTCAGCAAAAGTAGATCCGTAACTTCGGCATCTGGTCGATAGAGCAAACTAGGTAAGGGAAGTCAGCATTTGTAGATCCGTAACTTCGGGAAAAGATGTCTGAGCCGCTGCGTGTCGTCAGCGCCTGCTCGGGCTTGGGCACAGAATGTTTTGCCCTGAAGGCAATGGGTGTGCCTCACAAGCTTTTGATGGCCTGTGAGAAGCTGGAGCACATGCGTCGGTTTCTCAAGCGCAATCATGGCCCGGCCGTCGTGGTCAGTGACTGCAACAGTCGCAAGTTCCTGGCAACAGGAGGAAGGGCAGATCTCTTTGTGGCAGGGTTTCCGTGCCAGCCCTTCAGTGCTGCCGGCGACGGCGGTGGCGAAGGCGATGCCCGCGGCTCTGTCGCCTTCGCCATTGTGAAGTGGCTGCAACAGCACAAGCCAGCGGCCTTCATCCTGGAGAACGTCGGGGGCCTCCTAGAGAGACATCGCAAGACTTTCGACAAGATTATCAGGAAGCTGCGGTCAATCAAGCGACTGCGTACAGCCAAGCACAACGCAAAGAAAAGCCTGGACGCAAAGAAGCTGAAGAAGAAGAAGAAGACGAAGAATCCGGGCCACTACGTGCTTCAGTGGAAAGTTTTGAACTCTCTGCACTACGGTGTGCCGCAGGCCTTGTGGGAGGGAATGTGTTTTGTCTAAATCTTAGGTCCCCGCTAGACCGGTTGTTTATGATGTTGTAGCTGGTGTCCCGTTATCTCTGCCCTGTCTCAGAATCGCACACGGCTCTTCATCGTGGGGATCGCACGGTCCAAGATGAAGCAGCCGTTTTGTTTTCCGAAGGTGCAGCGCAAAGTCAGTCTCAAGAGTATCTTGGACACGAAAATCAGAGGAAGAATCCAGGACATGCCGGCGAACCGCGTGGCCAAGAGGAACTTGGAGGCTGCAGAGCTGAAGTTCAACAAGAGAGGGATTGACGTTTACAAGAAGTACGTGGCCGTTGATATCGGGGCCTCGCCGTCCAGACCTTACAGCGTTCTGAACAGGCTTCCGTGCTTGACGGCGAGTCGGGGCGGTAGCTGTCCTCACTTCGTGACCGGCCTGCGCCGGCAGTTGAGCGTCACAGAACTCATGAGGGCACAGGGTCTGATGAGGGCACAGGGTCTGAACCCTTTGAAAGTCAAATGGGACCGCATTTTGAGTGAGCGACAGCTGGGCACTGCCTTGGGCAATGGCATCACACAGACAGTGCTGGAGGCATTGCTGTGGGAGGTCTTGACATCCTTGGGTAGGAGACGGATGGCAAAGCT